GCCGGATGTTTCTCTTCACTAGGTTTCCCTAAGCACGTATCGAGAGTAATCGGTGGTTCTCGGCCAAATTAGAATTCGGATGGCGATACCTTGGTGTTCGACTGCATGTTGGTCCGGTACGTAACCAGAAGTCCAGGCAATGCTACCTTCCATGCCAATTTTGTGCAGTTTAATCACGTCTTCATGCTTTGGTTAAAGCGCTCTGTCATTCCGTTGGCCTGCGGGTGGTACGAGGAAGTGCGTCGCCTCTGGATGTCCCACTTGTGTAAAATCTCCTTAAATGCTTTCGACTCGAAGCTGGGCCCTTGGTTGGTGAGAACACACTGTGGTCTTTCATACTTTGCTGGCAAATTGAATTCGAATGCCTACGACACGGTCTCGACTGTCTGATTCTTGATTGGTATGGCTTCCACATATAAATGTCTAGTGGATAAATGTCTAGTGGGCAATGCGCTGTTCCCTGCAGAGGATTACGACGAGCCAGCGCAGCGTTTGTAGGCACGCTGATTTCGATTTACTAACCGCGTGCTTGCATGCTAAATCTCTCTATTTCAGGTGGTGGGTTTACAGTTTGTGCCTAATGCTTTCCTTTCTCATATGAATATCTCCATGTACTCTGTTCCATTAACTTACACACATAGCTTCAGCCAATTGTATTCGATTTCCATAACATTTTTGTGTTCGTGGCATTCCGTGAACTATATTTCCTGACCTCTTGCACTTAGCTAGGATTTGTTTGTTAATAACTTATTATGTATGCTATTTAATTAAGGTTTATGTCACCGTTTCCTTATGCATTAATCGAGTTTTTCTCTTTTTCTTTCTCCCCCTCTCAAGTGTTTGGCTGTTGTTTGATATCCCCGGTGTGGCTGCGCTTGATGTGCATGTTGACAAGGTGCCTACCTGTCTATTACCCACTACCTCGTCCATACTGGCTCCAGGAGACAGTTGGTCGTTGCTGGGGGGGACGGGGTGCACGGTCCTTGTGGCCGTGCTAGGCTCGAAGAGTGGTTCCATGCACTCAGTGTGGAACGGACTACGGTCCAGCCACCGCCTTGTGTGCGCTTGATTCCCCAAATACAGTGTGCTTGTGTTTGCCTGTGAAGGAGTGTGGGCCGGCTCCGTTGATGAAACGTGGTTCCCATCCACATGCCTCCCGGTCTTATTCCTTCGGGTTTACACTGGATATGGGGTGTGTGGTTGGAGCTGTGGGTGGTGCAGCGCAAGCCACCCATGGTCCCTCTGTAGGCGCAGGCGTCCTGTGGCTTGCCACAGTGACAGGCAAATCCGAAACCGGATGCCGCCAACCATGGCTTCCACCCGGCGAGTGAACTGATCGACCATCACCAGAAGTTACCTGTTTCCTGATCGACTCATTGCTAAGGGCCCAAAGACATCCAGTCCCCAACATTGAAGTCGCATATTGACTTCCATCAATCGCATAAGTGGTGTCGGTGCATCTATCTCACCACGCGTTTGGTACTTTTGGCGTCTCTAAATGAATGCTGCGACGTTCTTCCTTATGGTAGGCCGAAACACTCCCTCGGTAGCCATTCAACGACACTTTCGAATTCCATATGGGCGCCATCATGAGTCATTCGCATCAATCGATCTCCCAGCTTCGGTGGGAATAAAGATAGTATCTTTCCGTCTCTCGTAACCACCACATTATCGTTTTCGACCCTCAGTCTGTCCCAGCTCCTAAGGAGTTTCTCCATCTCTCTTGATGTGGCCTCATGTTTGGTGCCAGCCTGTAAGTAAGAGCAAAGTACCTACACGAATTCATCTGTCCTTTGAACATCCAGCAGGTTCCTGTCCTCCACTGTGACCGCGTGCACCAGTATAGCGTTGTCCAGCATGAGGTCGTCCAACGACGGGCATGACAACATATCGGGTAGTATGTTCTGCTTTCCGTCTACGTGCTCGGTTAGGAAGTTAAATTCTTGCAGTCGGTATGCCCACCCCGCAAGACGTCCCCTACAATCGCCAGTAGGCAAGTTCCCCATTTATCCAAGGCCCACAGGATGACCGCACATTTATTTTCCGTCGTGGAATACTTCTGCTCCGCCACTGTCAGTACTCTGTTGGCATATTCAACCACCCCGGCTGGTTGGGACAATACCGCATCGATTGTCACGTTGTGTGTGTCCACTTTCAACGTGAAGCACTCATCTGGATTGAGTAGCCGTAGGCATGTTGGGGCATCTGCTATGCATGTCTTTAGACGCTTCAAAGCTTGATCCGTTTCGGCCGTCCGCACAAACGGTTCGTCTTTTTGAATCAGCTTTAACAACGGGATGATCCTCACTTCAAATGGCGGTACAAACTTTGAGTCACAAACCACCACTCCCAGGAACGAACGGATGAGACGCTTGGATTTCGGCACTGCAAAACTCTTGATCATCTCGTGTTTCACCGGAATCCGATGGACTTCGCCATTGTTTACAATGTGGCCTAGACATGCATTCGACTCCCGAGCAATCTGTGACTTCTAGCGACCGTTTCAGACAAGCTTCTTCCAATCCTTATAGTGCTGCTGCAAACCTGATACGATGTTCGTGCTCTGTCTCGGAGAAAAAGATGATGTTAACCTAGTAGACAACCACACCTTGTAGGTTCTTTCAGACCATCAACAATAGGCGTGTGAATGTAACTGGGGCGTTATATAATGCAAACGGCATTTTTAGAAATTCGTACTGCTGGCCATTCACACTGAAAGCTGTCTTCTGGCGAGCATCCTCTGCGATGGGCAGCTGCCGATACTCCGATCGGAGGTCTATCAAGGAAATCCGCTCGACGCTGTTAAGGCTGGAGCAAATTTCTTCCGCCTTGGGCATCAGGAACATATCGTGCACTGTCACTGTTCAATTCTCTGAAATCAATGCAAAACCCATGAGTACCTTTGGCCTTTATCGCGAGTAGCACATGTGATGAATACGGACTATGTGTTCGCCAGATGGTTCCTTTCGCTTCCATCTCTACTACTTTTTTTGTATTTCCGTCAGCGTATTCTGCATTATTCTTCCAAAGATCGGCATGCACGTCCCTACAAGTATTAATGGTGAATGTGAACGTCAGTAGTAGTATTTACGTATCATTGTGTGTCGAATATATCTTCAGAGTGGGTAGTTCTAGCGTTCTAATGTTCGCATGGCTGCAGTTTGAAAACCACACTTGTAAGAAATTTGCGGTCTCCCAAGCTACATTTTCTGAGCTGAGATAGATGGTAGTAATGACTTTAAAATTTCATTCGCCTATATCTGATGTTCTGTCAGTACCACGTTTAACAACGTAGCATCATTACGATAAGCGGTATAAAAGTTGAAATAACGGATTCTTGCGCACCCAAGTCCTGTTGAGAGATATATGTGCTGTGCATAATCCGGCTGCTTGGCATTATTTCGCACTTGCACGACAGGCAATGACATTTGTCACAAATGGCGCCAGGATTCAAGCGATGCACAGTTATCGTGACACTTGATCATCCTGTCCACGGTAGCGACTCAGTGTAACACTTAGTCAACGGGATAGTTTTTTCTACAGGGTTTTCAGACACTGGGTGAGCACCGAGAAGGCATCCAGAATGACAAAGCAGGCCAGGAAAATAGATTCGAACCGGTGGCCTTATGATTGCAAGCCAGGGGTGCAGACCATTCGGCCACCAGGCTTCCCGGTCTCTTTTCAGGTTAGCAAGTAGTTTCGCCCTAAAATTTTGTGTTCGATTTCAGCCGGAACACGTTGGCCAGCATCTATAATTTCCTTAGACTGCATAGTGACCCAATGTCCAGGTTGGCGATTTGATTTGCCACATTAAGACATACCCGCTGCTAGCAAAGTCTGCCGGATTTTCGACCATTGATGTTCGATGAGCGCCTACTCAGCTCGGATACCAGCGTCTTCAAGTAGTGCACGAAAAGTGTACCTGTACATTTTGAACACGAGTATTTTAACAATTCAAATAGCTGCATTCAAGACAGCACTCTAAAATTAAATCTGTGAATGTTGTTATGTGAAACGAAATATTAAATAACAATTTCAATTGCAGGCTTAACAACTACGAGAGCGGCAGCAATTGTACGTCCGCCACGGATAGCAAAAGTAGTCGCTACGCCACTGTGTCCACCCCCGCTACACCCCCCTTTGTTTGCGCACGCCATTGGGTCAAACGAGGGATCATCCGAACAATAAAGACAGTATCCAAGTCATACTGGACAGCTATTCGGGCCTTTCTGGCACGCAAATTAAAATGGGATTACTGTAGGAATGGTTGCTTTTAAATCTAAAGTACAGCTTCCGAACCGGCTGATGTGGGTTCCGAACTTGACAGACCAACTTCCAATCGGGTAACGAATTAACGCGACAGTGCACTGAAACACAGCGGACAAACATCGCACAGAGACAGTTTCTATTAAACACGCGATTCATTCGTTCAGCTTCAATAACCACATCTTGTCTGGCAATGGACGTGTTTGCGAACTCGCATCTATCAGTTCCTCTCACTCTTGAAAAGACTTGACATGACGTGCGCAGTAATTTCCTATTCACTACTATTCAACTATCCACGCTGATATCCCGTAATGTGATATATCTGACGGTTGCTTCACCCGGCAAGCTCATTTGGTCCTACAAAGCGCTTTCCAAACATTCTAGTTTTCCGAACGAACAAACTGTGTCTACATTATCTCAGGCTGATCATGAAAGAGTACGGCACAGCAAATACCGGCACGAAAAGCACCATAAGTTGAATATATCGCTCGGGCATGGCTTACTGGAAGTCGGTCCCGTTTCACACCCTTGCGGTAGACATCAGATATCGCTTCAACCCCGTACGAAGCCACAGACCTACGTATGTGCATACATAGTTTGAAAACACTGTGAATACTCACACGTCCCTACGCGCTACCAGTGACGTGCTATACAACCAAATACGGAAAAAATAGGTCAGCAACGTGATCAAAACATGTCATTTTTTCTAGACAATCAGTGAAATGTACACGCATATGTCGAATAGCATTACGACATCCCACAACGCTGATATTCTTGGTGGCTGCTTCGGCAATGCGTTCAAGGAACTGCAACCTCCATTCCATCTGCGTCATGAGTTTCTGGGGATACCCGGCCAGAAGTTCCTCGTAGTGCGCTCTCATCTCATTCCTCACTCTGGCCTTCACCACCTGCCAAACATTCTCGATCGGATTGAGGAACGGAGAATATGGGCTCAATCTCAGTATGGTTACTCATCGTATCCATCTACTGACGACAGTTCTTCCAATCGTGTGTGACATGGAGCACTATCACATACCAAGACAACCTGCCGGAGCTCCATCTCCCGTTTCAGGTTGTCTAACTAGCTTCGCAGCCATTCGAGAGATAGGGGACCTGTAAATGAGCCTCTTCGGGTGGTCATTGACACTTGCGCTTTCATCGAGAGTGCACCGATTAAATGCAAATTGTGGCCTCTGCTGTTTGAAACTTTTCAACCGGCCCTCACTCCTCTGGGCGCAAGACCACGAGTACGTTTGCAGTAAACGTTGAAGTTCACTTCGTCAATCCAAATGAAGAACTTGCCATCGCTCTCAAATTAGACAAGCTGCTGAATGAACTCCCTGCGTATCCCTTTGTTTCGCTCATTGTTCATTCCCTCGGGAACCTGATAGATTTTCTTTATAGTTATCAATCGACCATCTAGGTGTCGTGCGATTGTTGTCTTCGAAATGTCCTTGTCTATTTCTGCTCATACTCGTACTCGCATTTTCCGTAGCGTAAGAGTTGATTCCCTTGCTATCCAATCCAGGATGTCATCTACGTCTTCCTAAGACAAAGTCCGCTTACGACCGTGCGTCTGCGTAGTACTCGGCTCCTGATCAGAAGAACGACGAATTCGGGATTACGCTGTTTGATATTTGACGTTGTTCACAGTTGCCACAAGCTGCCAGTCATCACCGTTGACGAAAGCGCCCAAAACTCGGTCAAGAATGTCTGATGATATACTCTGTCGAACGCGAGAAGGCATGCCGACGACGTTAGAATTACAGACATGGTTTCGGTCGTGCGCTTATGTTCCAGCTGTTCATTGCTCACAGACCTTTCTGTGATCCAGCGTTTCGGACTTGTGGGGGGCGCATAAAAGCCCGTTGCACCGTCGAAGTGCATTCCTCTAAGGTTCTTTCACTAGTGTCACCCAGTCAACGAGCAACGCGCTCACCCCCCCCCCCCAGACTAACGCACCGAACCTTGGCATCCGGCCAATGAGAACACACTTAAGGTCAGAGGATTGGCTCTGAGCGGCTGGCGAATCGCAAAGGGTTTTGCAAAATATTGGACTTTCTTTGCAAAATTTTGCACCTTCTTTGCAACATTTTGGACCTTTTATGCAACTTTGCGGGATATGCTATAGCTTCTTCTCATGAACATATGTTCCCCTGAAAATCATCCCCCGCCACTCTAAACACCGTTAGAGGGCTGACAACCAACACGTCCGTTGTTGCTACCCGTGTGACGGAGGCAGCTTCCATTACAACACCGCCAGCTGCCAAACAAGTTACTACTGCCAACACCACCACGGGCCTCAAGACCCCATCACTTGTCTAACCGAAAAAGCAGCCACTGGTCCCTCCAAAAAGAAGAACATGAAACACTAACACAATTCACTAACTGTTGGATGCTCTAAGGTGACTAAATCCGGAGCGAACTCTATAAAAGATAAGATACTAGACGACCAAAAGCAGTGGGACTCCCTGTGTCAACTAATAGGGGTTCAAGCTAAACCGGTCAGTATGATACGTTTCGTCCGTCACCCAAACTGGGTACACTACGGTGAACCGCGGTTAATTCGGGTAACACTTCAGTCAGGTAATGATGCAGAGGCATTTCTCTTGTCAGCCACTCGCCTCTGGACCACCACATGCACTGTTGGAATATTTCCAGATGTTTCTTGGTGCGAACGCCAGAAACGCAGACAAAACCCGGATGACTTCTGTAAACAACACGACGCAATTTCTATCCTTGTTCAAGGTGTCCTTGAGGACCAGTCACTAAGCGAGCTAGAGGTCAAAGCGCATGACTGGAATGAATGGCGTTTTATTCGTGAAGTACTCTCAGTCGAAAATGTCATCGCTAATTCGACCTCAAGGTTACCGCTATCACCTAACTACAAAGGGTGTGGTCCCCGAGTGATGAAAGTATCATTGCACTCCGAAGTGATGGTAGAACATGTGATCAAAATGTGGCACAAAAACCGTAAAATGTTGCTGTACGAAATACGTATAAGGACAATAGGCATCGGGCCACAGATAGACAATGTAACACTAAGCCAGCAACTTACCAATACAATTCTGTCACCGTGTAGCTCGAACGGAAACAATGCCGAAACACACCGACAGCTGAAGGTGGACAGGATGTTCACCCTCATTGTTGGCGCTGAGAGCTCTATACAACAACCTGAACTGGCCCTAGCGCCTGTGTCATCGGTCACACAAAAAAACGACCGACAGCCGACCCCGCAATGTTGGGCATAGACCCTCACCGGAAATCAGCATTCACACACACACTGCTGACCACCGATGCCCTCATCAGGTTGTATACAAATGCACAAGGTCTTCTCAGCAAGCTAAATGAATTTCATATGCTTCAAGTCTCTAAGCCCTGGGACCTAGTTATGGTCACGGAAACATGACTGAACACGGAGATTACGGATGCTGATATTGCACTAACCGGCAGGACTTCCATACCAAACGATTTACCTAGCATGTTGATGTCATTAAGGACCCAGAAACGCAAGTCGTCGACGCTCTTTGGTGTCGTATGCACCTAAGACATGGTGATGTGTGTTTACTAGCAATAGTTTACCGTCCACCAATGTCCACCTTGGAAATCGATCAATGCCTAGCTTCTGCGATGAAACGAGTCCTGGCACGATCATACAGTCCCGTCCTTCTTATGGGGAACTTCAACCTGCACGCAATCGATGTTCCAGCAACGCACTGCGAACAATTCAGGCGGATTTGCAAGAGGTGATCGTCGATGTACCTCTGTACAACCATGTCACCTCTCCCACGCGATTCCGAACGGGTGACACACCCTCTGTTGTGGACCTTGTGCTCTCCAACGAGGAACTAATGGTCGACACCGTGACCATAGATGCATCACTTGGCCGTAGCGATCACGCGAGGTTGCTCTTTCGTTACATCTGTTACTCGGAGTACAGCAGTGAGAACAACGTGGAAACCTATGTCGTTACACATTACGATAAACTGTCTAACTTCGTTCAAGAAACCGACTGGTCCTTCCTGGCCGAGAAGCCGCCCAATGTCGCCTGGATGTTGTTCGTCACTAAATTCACTGAGCTCGTGGCAAATGCGTCAGAAAGCAAAGTCCTTTGCCCGAAGCAAATGAATTCGTTCCTGAGAAGCCGTACTAAAAAATGTATGGGCTTAAAGGATTCAGCCTCGCGCGCTTATAAAGCCTGTCCAAGTAACCTGACCTGGGATGCTTACACAACACAACGAAACCACTGCGTCAAGTTGATCCGCGAAGACACACGCCAGCACCAACAGAACTTAGCGTCAAAATTCAGTACAAATCCCACCTTACTGTATAGACACGTCAACAAGCTCCGCAGTGTGCACCGCTGGATCCCGGTTTTACGTGCAACAGATGGTCTTACGCAAACCGTAAAAGATGTCGCCAACGTGCTTCGCCAACACTTCATTC